CGACGAGGTATACTAATACCAATTGTCCCGAACAAAGTCTATGGACACTTGTCCTTGGACCGACGTTTCGGTCCAAGACGGACCGAAACGTCGCCACTTCTTTTATTTTCAGATTTGTGGATTGTGTCATAGCATTACGTTATAGTTGACGAGTGTGTGTCTTAGGTACGACCTTAACTAGACAAGTATAGTCTGAGAGTGGATTGTTTACATTCATGAACCTGCGATCAAAGGCTTTATTGCCTTAAGAGTATCATCAAAAACATACGATTCATCCATGAAAATTAATAATTGTGATGAAACTACACCCTCGACTTACTTGAAAACAAAGCGCAGATATAAAGGCATCACAAGTCTCATCAAGATATTAATTTAGGAGAAGGCAATAAGCTGCGGCGCGAGCTCCACCTTCCACCACTGCAGCCCGCGCTGCACTGACTCTTTCCCGCCTCATTGGCTACGATATCCTTTTTTTAAATGGTTTACGAGGGAACAGCAATAGACGACTCCTGTTAGCAAGCTTAGAACTTTCTTTTCTCATAACTCAACCTTATCCCCTGCTAGTTTTATCTGGAACACGACTCACCAATCGTTTAACAACCTTGGGTGAACAGTTTTGTACCCGTGTATTTGAGGGACCTTAAATATACGAGGGTAGAAATAGCCTAATTTACTCTACCCTTTAGAGATGTATTTTATTTTCTCAATAAACTTACTTGAACATCAGCTAAAAGTGTACCGAGGCTGCCAAATGTGGTTTGAAGTCGAGATAAGGAGATAAACAGTAGTAATATAAAGCTGTGGCAAACAGAAATATGGTTGAATTAAACAGCAATATCAAGTTGAGGTAAACAATAATATACAATTGAATATAAACAATAACATATGAGGCTATTGTAAGTAGTAAATCCGTAAATCTACAGATGGTACAGAGATAAGTGAAACAGAATATTAAAATGAATATTTTATTGAGCTATAGAAGGCCCCAAATAATCTGCAGATTTAGAAAGAAAAATGGCAAATGTTGCATGACGTTGATAAGGATAAATTCCTAATTTTGGAGACTGGCAAACAATTTTTTTCAAGAGACTTAGGGAAAAAGATATGCATATATCAAATGCAATATATATATATTCTAGCAGCGGACTATTAGGTATGTAGGTAAGAAGCCATAGTACGTTATGCCATCGTCTCCAGGAGACGTTGCTCTGCCCTTCTTAATTAAGTGCAGTTTCAAGCTCAAATAGAGGAATGTCATTAGCATTATTTGGACTCATTTCACTACTGGCAATTTCCATATTAAAACCCCTGTTAACATTAGTACTAGCAAGATGTATATTTTGGGGGGTAGATTCAATATGCAAGCAGTGCGTGCATAGTTCTAGCAGCATAAGCTGTTAGAGCACTATGGGCTCACCATAGCCCGTGCTGCTTGGAACTTTTTGTTCCAAGTAGTGAATCTTAAACAACAAAACATGTTAGAGCAAGTTTAGGGGTCTTAGGTTTGGAGATCTTTTTGTGCAATTTTACAGCACAAGGTAGGAAACTATGAGGATGAAATTAGGTACTTTTTGGTTTTGTTTTTGAATGAGACAAAAGTTGGACAGCTTTTCAAATCATTAGGGAGTGAGTTCCATAAACTAGGTTCCTTTATTTGCATAGAGTGTTTACACAGATTAAGTTTGACTCTGGGGATATCAAAGAGATATTTATTTCTGGTGTGGTGATAATGGGTCTTATTACATCTGTCGAGGGAGAGTTTCAGAGCAGGGTTTGCATTTAAGAACAAGGTTTTGTAAATGTAATTGACACAAGAGAATGTGTGGAGTGAGTTTATGTTTACTTCAAATTATTATTTTACATCAGTGTTCACACACGAAAGGTTGGATGACATCCCATCACCCACACAAACGTTTGGAAAATGGGAGGAGAATGAATTTATGGATATATCCAGAACATGCGAAATAATTAGAAAGAACATTGATAAACTAAAAGACTCAAAAGACTCAGGTATGGATGGAATCCAATCAAAAGTCTTAAATGAACTGGCAGAAGAACTATGCCTGCCGCTGAAACTACTTTTCACAAAATCTCTGGACTAAAGGGGTAGTCACTCTACATTGGAAGTATGCAAATGTTGCCCCTATTTTACAAAAAAAATGTAGAAAGAGCTCAGCAGAAAACTACCGGCCGATCAGCTTGACATCACACATCTGCAAGCTCATGGAGAGACTCCTCAGGGAGGGAATCATTCACATCTTTCAGTGAACAACCTTGTACAATTGACACAACATGGGTTTGTTAAAAACAGATCCTGCCTTACAAATTTGCTCACATTTTTGGAGAAGGTAACCAACTACTCAGACAAAGGCCTTCCGGTGAATGTAGTAGGTTTCTACTACATCCGGTTTCATTCAAACTGTCATTGCAATCAATCTTATATTGTTTCTGCTGTATTGTGCCTACCTATTTTTTGTCAACTACCATTCAAGCTGTCATTGCAATCAATCTTAGCTACCTATGTGCTTTAATATACTGTACCTACAATTTTCTCTCATCTTCTTTCTTTTTTCATTTCATGTAATCTGTTATCATTTTTTTGTCTATAAATTTTGCAAGTATTTACCTCCTTAAAATTTTCTTAGATTAAGGACCTGCCCGAAATGCTGCGCGTACTAGTGGCTTTACAAGACTGTAATTACCATATTTGTATCCTCACATTCCTTATGTACATTCTTGTATATGCATAAATAAATAAATAAATAAATAAATAAATAAATAAATAGTATACAGGGATTTTGCTAAAGCTTTTCATAAGGTACCACGTGAAAGATTGGCAGGGAAATTACAGGCCCATGGAATAAATGGTAAAATATTAGAATGGATAAAACAATGGTTGAAGAAAAGAAAACAAAGGGTCATGCTAAGTGGAAACGGATCATAATGGAGAAATGTGATAAGTGGGGTGCCACAAGGGTCCATTTTGGGACCTACCCTTTTTGTCATATACATCAATGACAGACAAGAATATTACAAACCACATCATCAAATTTGCAGATGACACAAAGATTTATGAAAGCGGGAAATGATAACGATATTGAAGCCTTATAAAGAGATGTACATGAACTCCACAAATAATCAGAAGACCGGCAAATGCTTTTTAATATCGACAAATGCAAGACCAAGATGCATGTGTGACATAACAACCCACGCCACAATTACCTAATAACATTACATTACAGCAGATTGATGAAAAAAGGGATTTTGGAGTCAAGATCCACCACTCATTACAAGTTGCACAACAGAGACCTAATTTTCAGAAGGACATAGCTGCTGTGGAGAAGGTGCAACACCAGACAATAAAAGTCATTCCAGAGCCAAGTCGTTTCTCGTATCAGGAACGCTTAAAGACTACAGGGCTAATAACACTGAAAACCAGGCATAACGGAGGATCTGATTTAAACTTAAAATATTGAACAAGTTAGAGGATGTTGATCCGGATATTTTCTTCAGGTCAGATGTAACACAAAAAGGAGAAACGGTTTCAAACTCAACAAGCCACAATGTAGGGCTGAGAACAGATGTTTTTTCACCCACAGGGTTATTATTTGACTAAATGTAAACTCTGCCAGCAGAACTGAAATTGAAATTGAAATTGAAATAAGTTTATTGAGGTAAAATACACACAAAGGGATGAGGTAGCTCAAGCTATTCTCACCCCGTTCAGTACAACGTGTTAATATATACATATACACACATCACAAATAAACATATTACCAAACATTCTGAGAGGTAAAAATATACATTTCCTCCCTCACAAGGAGTATGGTATCAGACGTACACACAAATACCAGCAGAACTATTCGCATTCTTTGTGTCATTATATAATGGAATGTGAAAAAATCGCGGAATTTAGAGATAACACCATCAATAGTGTCCAAGAAATGTGTAAGTACTTCATTCATAATGATGTGCTACCCGAAATCTTAGCGAAGTACAGTATCCAAAATTTGTTTACTGTAGGTAATGCCTGCACATGACTGTTAAGCTGCCGCCCAGTTGGGTGGGTGTGCAGCAAGACTAGTAACTGAGTGACTCATCATAGATGTAAAGTGCCTTGTATAGTGACTGTTGTGAGCCTCTTGTTGAATCACTTGTGACACAAAAGATTATTGATGTGTGTATTTGTGTGGGTGATTAAATATGTATGTGTATATATGCATACGTATATATATGTACATGTATGTATATGTGTACATGTATATATAACATTAATAATTTTGTAATTAGCGTCAAAAGATTGTTATTTGCTTAGTTAAACGAACTAGAGGGTTCAGTTCCTGAACCGATTATGTGCCTCTGTAATCCTTTACACCACCGCCCACGGGATGGGTATGGGGTGCATAATAAAGAAAGAAATTGAATTGAATTGGATTATTAATTAACCCATGGAACATCCTACCCGTCAAAGCTGTAACTGCCAAAACTGTGTTGAATTTCAAAATATACCTGGAACAGATCATCAATATAAATGGGGGGACCTTCGACAAGCAGCCGGCTTTCTGTCCTCGTCAAGGCCACTAGGGTTAGTGGTCCTCAGGTAAATAATATATGAGCACATGAGGTGTGCTTGTCTATAATATATGAGTATGAGGTGTTCTGGTATATAATATATGAGTATATGAGGTGTGCAGGTATATATGAGTATGATGTGTTCTGGTATATATGAGTATATGAGGTGTGCTGGTATATAATATATGAGTATATGAAATATGCTGGTATATAAGATGCTGACCATGTGAGCGCCACGCTCCCCGCGCTTCACTTGACCACCTCCTGCCAATGATGTTTCACGCCACCTTTGTTTTTATCGCTTCTCCTACTAAATTGAACTCTATTTTTGACGTTCCGAGCCACTAAATAAGAACCTTACCTCTAGGGCAACCATATTCCCTCAGCAGTTCGTCAAATCAGTCATAAAAAGAGCGAGAAATAATATTACAAAGTTGGCTTTTGGTGATTGTTTTGAGGAGAGCGCCATGTTCCGGGGATGACAAGCAGGCAGACGTATTCACCCTCAGTCAGCTTAAATAGGACGGAATAGGTTTAGGACAAAGTAATTGACAACGGTGTCCCAAGGATACGAGAAATAAAGGTATGGGGAAGATGATACGCGTTGTCACTACAATGTTCTGTCTGGAATACCGGATAACATGGCCTGTCAACTTTTTCTGTCCACAAACCTACTCGTATCCGAGTTATATATATTTTTTGTATGCAAACTACATGAAAAGCAAGATAGACGGTTAACTTGAATATATTATATGTATTATTGTAACTTAATGTTTCCTGCTTTGAGAGAACTATTAAGATGGTAAATGTTGAGAGATTATAATGAGTTTAGGTGCTGGCTGTAGGGGGGGAATTAATTTTCTATAATTTTCTACACCAAAATGATCCTCAACCACCCACAGCATTGCATATACTTCCCCCCCAGAAACATCATCCTAAATATATTGCTAATAGACGTAGGGGTCAAGTGTGGTGGTGTGGAGGCAGCTAAGCCATAATGTCTCCCACAGGAAGAGACATAATGTCTCCTGCCACCAGTCTTCATAATACCAGGAGCTGTGTAAATTGTATCCAATAAGTCGTTTCTCTGTGACTCTTGGATACTCTTTAATTTTATCATTATGTTTATATAGAATTGTCGGGTGAAGATTTTTATTTTCCTTACCTAACTTGGGTAATATTTATATGTTATCGACTGGAGGCTAAGTGATAATAATAATAATAATGATAATAAGTAATGGTAATGTCTTCTTACAGATATAATAACAGGAAAAAACTCATACTTGTGTATTTGTGAAATTTATGTAATGAAATTACACCAAGTCTTTTGCACTCTTCTGAGTGCTTTGTCAAGGTCTGAGTGTGTGGTTAGGACGAGTCTTAAGATCTTGACGTCTAATCAACGTTGAGATGTTGAGATGCAAGTCTCGTCCTCACCACACACTCAGACCTTGACAAAGCACTCTGGAGAGTGCGGAAAGACTTAGTGTAATTTCTTAACATAAATTTCACAAATACACAAGTGTACATTTTTATCCTATATAGTAACAATAATACAGTAATAATAATAATACTAATAATACTAATACTAATAATAATGATAATGCTTTGTTTTCATTCAGATAAAGAAATCTCATAGTGTAGATCTAGTGCCATACTTGTATACAAATTCTTCTGTGCTTCTACACTTGGCATCTCAACTAACATTTATTGAAGGGGGAAGACTACTATATTAAATCTTTTGCTTCAGTAGACCGTTAAACTTGCCAATTGAAAAATAATCATTCACTAATAAAGTCAAATTTAACCAAGTAACGTACTTAAAAAAAAATTCTACATTCTATAATATTCGTTCTGGCATCTGAATGTTAAAAAGAGTTGGAGGGTAGAAATAACCTAAGCTACTCTATCCTTTTGAGTTGTATCTTAGTGTCTCGGTAAACTAACTTGGACTCGTTAAAACATAAGTTTGGGCCCAGTAGCTGCTGCAATTTTACTTGTTTATTTTGCTTAAATCTTTACAAGAATGTACAGTTTGTCTTGTAACAATGTTGGTGTTAAAATTATATTCTTGCAAAACCATTAACTCACATGGCAAGAAAGAAAATACAGTACCTCACACCGTGCAGTTTGTCTATATTTGCCATGGATACCTTTTTCATGTCCATGACTTGATTACCGTTATAAGTACAGGTATAGACCTATACTGATTCATAGTAAATATCATAAAGGTAAATAAAAAAACAGCACAAATCAACATTGGGCATGAAAAGGGCAGAAATAATTTTGTTTTGTGACCTGCATACATAAAATTCCTATAATAGTGTACGAAATTGTTCCATGGGATAGAATAATGTATTATTTGGATATAGAATAATGTAGTTTTGTTATAAAACTTGTGTATTTTGACCTTTGGCATGTTAATTTTCATATCGAGCATCAGTCTCTAATTTGAGGCCACTATCTTGGCAGTAAACACATATGCTGGTGTCCCAGTATGTCTCCTCTGTCTTATCACACCTGCTTCCATACTCAGCCCATTCATACACACCCATAAACAGTTTTGCTGGTCTTATACTTTGAGAGAGCATAATTATTTTAATTTGGGTCACAATACCTAGCCTGATTAACCATACCAATTGTAATATACCAGTAATCTAATATTGTACTGTACTTCCCCTGATGAAAAATCTTAGAAACTGGTGGTGTAATTAGTACTTCCCATTAATAGTACAGTATTGTACAGTAATTTGTAAATACATATAGATTTCACAGAAAATCGGTGAGAAATTTATATGTCGTCTTAACCCCTGAGAGCTGAACGGAACCGTATAAATCACTAAAACATTATGTACTGTACAAGAATGACCTTTCGTCAGCCCTGATCTGAAGGTACCATATTTTTACTAATTTTTTTTTACCACTTTTACTCGATACCAGTTAGCTTAATCACAGAAATTAAGAAATTACATACACTGAGTACAATACTGTATTGGCCCTGGTAATCTGATCTTTCCTTTTGGCCAATCTGCATCAAAAGCTAATCATCACATAGAAGTGCTATCAATAAGCAGTGAATTAGAAACATGTTCCACAACACTGGAAAGCTGCCAATATCTGGAGCAATTTAAGGATTATCTGGACTATGATTCCTAACCTAATATAAGTTATTATTATTATTATTATTATTATTATTATTATTATTATTATTATTATTATGTCGGGTATAGGCCCATAGAGCATTGCTCAATTTAGATATCATAAAATAGTATGGCCTAACATAAGAACATAAGAATTAAGGACCCTGCAGAAATGCCTGTTGGCCCATATGAGGTAGCTCCTATTTATATCCACCTAGACACACTCCTATATACGAGTCTGATTCAAACTTGAAACACTGAAGTGATCCCCACGTCTATTATGCCACCTGGCAGCTTGTTTCACAGATTGTCCACCCTATTTCTAAGCCAGCGTTTAACCAGATCTTTCCTGAATCTAAACTTATCCATTTTAGTGGATATGCCAATTTTTAATATGGCATATATATAATATGTTAGATATGTATAAATATCCATTGCTTCTTGTACTATTTTTATTGATATATTTACCACATTATTTATATTTTAATTGCTGTACCCTTTCAATCATTTGCATGCTGTACTTCAATCATGTCACCCCTTATTCTGCATTCTAAAGCATGTAAATTAAAATTTTTCTTGTGTGGGGGGGGGTGCCTTGTGGCTCACTGAAGATAATATGCTGAGAAGGAACAATCTATTAGGTCACATCAGCAGTGGAATTTTATAGGCCTACCCAGGGACCAGTGCCAAAACCTGGCCCACTCAAAGAGGCACAAAGAGCAGTGACATTTATATATATATATACACAGTATACAAGAGTTCTTACATTCTTGTAAAGCCACTAGCACGCATAGCATTTCGGGCAGGTCTTTAATCCTAATTTTTCCCGGAGTATCCATTCACTGCTGGGTGAACAGAGGCCACAGATAAGGATTGGTGCCCATTCAATCCTCCCCAGACAGGATACGAACCCAGATCAAAGTGCTCACGAAGTGTTGAGCAAGTGCTTTACCACTGCGCCACAAGGACTGTGGTGAAGCGGTGGAAACATAGTTAGGATTACGAGCTTATTTATTTAATTTTTGCCACCTCACTGGGAAAGGCACCCAGAAAGTCAGTGAGTCAAAAGAAACCTCTGCTGGCTTCAGAAGAAACTAACGCTCAAAAACCACCTAAAGAACTCCTCCAACTATTTTTTTTTTTTTTTTTTTTTTTTTTTTTTTTTTTTTTTTTTTTTTTGAGATATATACAAGAGTTGTTACATTCTTGTACAGCCACTAGTACGCGTAGCGTTTCGGGCAGGTCCCTGGAATACGATCCCCGCCGCGAAGAATCGTTTTTTCATCCAAGTACACATTTTACTGTTGCGTTAAACAGAGGCTACAGTTAAGGAATTGCGCCCAGTAAATCCTCCCCGGCCAGGATACGAACCCATGACATAGCGCTCGCGGAACGCCAGGCGAGTGTCTTACCACTACACCACGGAGACTGTAACTATGTAAACAAACGATTGAAATCTCTCGGAACCGTCAAGAGCTCGTTTGCCCCACCTCCCCCACTTGTTTGGAGGGAGGGGAAAGGTACGTACGTTACTTGTCAGCCAGCATCTCGCTCCAGTTCTAGAGCAAATGTAGATAACCAACCGATAACCAGGAAGGGAGGGAAGGAATCAAGGAGCCAACGGAGCTCACCCAGAAATTGGCATTTCATTACTTTCAAGTAGCACAATGTTAATTGTTTTGTCCTTCGTTCACATAGTGCAACACCCTATAGAGCTGTTTCCAATATACAGATGTTCACAAACAAGCTTGTTAGGTGCTCATAATTCACATGTACAGTAACTCAAATATAGCTGTAATTTCATATAAAGCACTTCTTTTTCTTATATGATTAGCTTTTTCAACACGAGGAGAACCTATTTATAATCCTTAGGGTTATGAGGGTTATCAATCTTCATATTTCACTCTGTAATTTAATACAAAAAATTCATTGTGATATATTCCATAACATATTTAATTCATCACTGCAAATGCTGCAGTCATTAGAAACTTGACCAGACAGGGTGCTAGGGTAAGGTCACAGTTCTCCAAATGGTTGCCTGGCTCTAGATAAAGATTCAGAAACCTCCAAGAATATGCAGGCGATGAGTCACAATAACGTGGCTAAAGTATGTTGACCAGACCACACACTAGAATGTGAAGGGACGACGACGTTTCGGTCCGTCCTGGACCATTCTCAAGTCGATTGTGATGAGGAAGTAGAGACAGGCAATAAATAGGCACGAGAGAGAAGAGGAGCAAAGTAAGGTGTAGTAGTAGGAACTGCAGAGGGCCTATTGGCCCATACGGCTCCAAGAATATATTACATGACGGAATATGGTAGATATGCATAAATAATAAACATTTGGGGAAAATGTGTCAGACCAATTTTTTAAAAATGAAAGTGCCTCTGGGTTCTTTATAAGAATGATAAAGAAAAAAATTTTGATTGTCAAAATTAAAATATTTAAAATAAATATATTGTATTAGTTTTTTACTTTTATGCAGCTCTAAGGGCCCTCAAACTTAGGCCAAGAGATTGGCCTAAATTTGGGGAATGTATGTATATATGTTTTTGCCTATGTCATACCTTTTAGCCAGAGTTGCATAACATGCCAAATTTTCTTAAGTACAGTATTTGTTTTCTAAAAAATTGTGCTTATCAAATAATAATTTCTTATTATAATATACATTATAGGGATTTATTTTATTTGCATCAAAACTTAGTACTGTACCCTGACTTAACCTAAATAGGCAGATTATTTCTTAATACTTATTCTGCCTAACATAGGAAAGGCAGAGGTTTTGCCATGCTGGTGAAAGAAAACCTAAAGGTAAACAAGTTATTGATTTACAATTCATGAGAAGTTGACATAATAGCACTGGAGATTTGTAATCTGGATGATAAACTGATAATTTTATTGAGACTAACGGAAACGACAAGAGAATGAAGAACAACGCTGAGAATGATCACACCCGTGTTGGCAAAGGGAAAGAACAATATCATGAACCTGGCTTCCAGGCTCCGGAAGCAAAAAATAAAGGTGAAGGCTTCTCTTCCCTGCCTCATGCACACTGAAATATTGTACCACTAGAAGCTGCTATAAACAGTCAACCTAGGAAGAGAGCACTAAAAGTTTGAGCCACTGTTGTAGGAAGGAACCAGAACCTGGCCCCCTCAGAGAGCCACAGGGAGCAATGGCCTATGAGCACTCTACATTTAAAGTACTGTACTGTATGTCATAATTGCCATCAACCGGGGAAGGCACCCAGAAAGATAGGCAAAACATGTCAGACCACAGTTTGGTGAAAATTGCAACCTACATCCTGAAGAAGCAAAGGAACTTCCCCTCAGAAAGAAGACAAACAAATTTGCAACTTTGTATGCAACTTTGTTACATACAGAGTTGCAAATTATGCAACTTTGCATAAAGTTGCATACAAACTTCATGCAACTAGCCCTCCCACTCATTGGTGCTTTCCTTCCCCTCTCTTCCCCTTCCCAAAGGGGTGAGAGGTAGCTGGCTTAAGTCGTGCCATGGGGACGCTAAGCCCCAAAATCATCTGAAGATAGTCGGGATTGGGCCACAGGGATGCTAAGCCCCGAAATCATCTCAAAATGAATAACCAGGTGAGCTGGCAACCAGCCACTCAAGTTCTTCACTGATGTGCTGGCGGTCGGACATCACCTCTGGCCTCAAATCCTGTTCTGGATTTTTGCCCTGTGTGACTGTTCTGGCTGTGTGTGTGGGGTGTGGTGGCCAGGTGTCTTAGTGTACTGGAGCTGCATGCGACTAGGGTTCCCTTCCCTAGGTGCTCCGCAAATACTGTCCTTGCTTGTCAGCCTTATTTTCCCTGGGGCGTTCAGAAATCACTTCCCGTTGAGGACTTCTTCGCTTGAAGTTGTCTTCGCTCTTGAGGTGCGTCGGGAATCTTGGGGCTTTCTGTCTTGCCTTGGGTAGGAGAGTTTTTTGTTGGTGAGGGGGGATTTTGCTTGTCGCTGCTGCTGGTGCAGCAGCGACGACCAATGTTTTTTAATGACTGCTAGTTTGCTAGTTGTGTGATTTTGAGGTTTTTATTTGTAATTTTCTGGTATTTTCACCTATGTGGACAGAGGAAGTCTGCTTAGTACTTATTAGGCATGCCTAGGTTGTAGTGGTGGTGCTCCTCTGTTTACCCCCCTTCCCCTGAGGTTTCACAGCTGCTACTAGTAGTCGGTTTGCCTGTTAACAGACAGGGTTCTACTGGCTTAACTGGCCTCAGTGCCTGGGCTTTCTGTAGGGCTTATTCACTCTACAGGACCTGGAAATCCTCTGTGGGCTCAGTCGTACTATGGATACTTCTTCCGAGCTTACTCTTGCTTTGTGCAAAGTTGAAGATCGTTTGCCATCCTGCCACAGAGAGATGATCATCTTTACTGCCTCTGTCATGCTGCCCATTGGGTCGGGGACACCTGCGACCCAGAGTCTTGCGGAATTTGTTCCCTACTTGTGTTTCAATTAACTCATCCCTTATCTGATGATCTCGGGCAGCAGCCACGTTGCATACTCAATTCTTCTTCTTGCAATGGGCCTGGGGCCAGATTCACGAAGCAGTTACGTAAGCACTTACGAACCTGTGCATCTTTTCGCAATTTTTGGCGGGTTTGTTTACAATTATTAAACTGTTAATAAGCTCCGAAGCTCCAAGAGGCTGTTTATAACAACAACAACAGTTGATTGGGAAGTTTTCATGCTTGTAAACTGTTTAATAAATGTAACCAAAGTCGCCAAAGATTGAGGAAAGATGTACACGTTCGTAAGTACTTGCGTAATTGCTTCGTGAATCTGGCCCCATGTTGGTGGCCCAATCGAAGGCTCTGGAGCTGCCCCGGTTGGATTTTAGGGACTCAGATTTATGAGTCCCAGCTCGGGTGGCCTCGGGGGCTATCCTTTCCAATTCAGGTGCGAAGATGATTGAGCAAAATTTTCCTGCTGGGGCTATTGGGTCGACCCAGCAGACTCCCTTCTTTGAAGCTTTTTCCCTGGACTCTTACCATTTCTTCAGGGGTGTTGGGCGTGGATGAGGGCTCTGCCCCGGGAACTTTGTCTGGGGTTCCTGAGGCTCAGGGGAAGTCTGTCTGGAGGTCTTGGGCTCCTTTTGACCCTGTTCTGGCCCTTGTGGCCTCTAGGCAGGATTTGTTACAGCAGGGGGGGGGAGATTCGTACTCTCCTTCCCATTATGAATTTGAATTACCGTATTTGCCAGTATGAAATACGCTTGCTCGCGTCAGATGCACCCCTCTTTTACATGGATGTTTTGTGAAAAAACAAAAACAATTATATTTAAAAAAAGGCATCTTAAACGGCGGCAAATGAGGTAGGTGGGGTTTTCCCCAGGTTCGTTTCCAAGTGCCCTAGGGTTCCTCGGATTTGTCTTTCCAGAGGTTTTCTTCCTCTTGACTTACACCGCAGAGGTTTGGGAGATTTGTAAGCCGAGAAACCTCTCGGCTTACACCGCAGATGTTACACCTTGGGGAGCCTCCTACCTCTGGCACCTGGGATTCTGTTTGGTGGGTCCTAGGTTTCGTTTTGTTCTTTGCAGCCGTCGCCTTCTTTTCTGATGGAGAATGAGACGGTGGACTTCCAGAGGAGGTCCATTGGTGGTGGATGCTTGGTTAGCCTGAGGGTGCATCATGTGCTGTGTCTGGTGGCGGCTTTGACAATTTTCACCAGACTGTGGTCTGTTTTATTTTGCCTATTTTTCTAGGTGCCTTTCCCGGTTGATGGCAATTATGACATAATATAAATGTACAGAGCTTATAGGCCATTGATCCCTGCGCCTCTCTGAGGGGGCCAGGTTCTGGCTTGTGGTCCTCGGTAGGCAAAGGACTCCTGTGACTGATGACCCCAAACTAATAGAGCACTCTATCAGTTTGGATAGCTTCAGGGAGCCTCCGGGGCTCACCCAGAAACTTGCATTTCATTACATTCAATGATGTTTTTTTATGAGTCAAGGTAAATTTATGGGTCAAGGTATACTCCACATAGACCTATTACTGTATATCCATATTTGCATCATACATGTAAAACCCAGACAATAATTGTTAAAATCTTCATATGATGATAACTGCATTACCCTGTGAATCAACAATTGATGATGTTTTCTGCCTAAGGGTTAAATTGTACATGATACTGTACTTTAAAACATATCTGATTGTATCATGCAGTTTACAGACATTTACCAAGAACATTCCGCATTGCGTCGTACAGTTGAAGGGTTAATGGATGAGTGCTTACTCTTCCCCCAAAATGGGAAACAATGATGATTGAGATGATTACAATGATGGTAAAAACTGTATTTTCATTTAGTCACATTTAATAATTTGTTTACTTTTGTGTTTAGGTGGATGAAGTGGAGCCAGGCTGCATTCGAGGGTGACCCCTCAGCGGCCATGATGGCAGGAAGACACATACCTCATCCCACACCCCCACAGCCCATCAGACCTCAGGTAAGAATGGTTGCAGCAGCATGCCATATTATAATCCATGAGATATTTACTGGTACAGTACTTTATTGTTATGTTTATTTGTTGTTCATATCTTTTCAATGCATTTGCAGTGGCACATTGCTTGTTCTTTCTGTCAATAGTGGAGTGAGTGACTTAAACCAAAATTCCTTATTTTGTTCAGGTTCTTTGTCAATTGGCAGAAGTCCCAGTTAGTTCCATTGCACGTTTGGATGTGGCTAGACCTTGTATCAAATTCTCAATCAGCTTTCCATCTATGCCTTTAGTGGCCCTGAATCATTAGGCTTATTGCTGAGATTTTATGGTGGAGTGCGCTTGGGTGCATGGTTTACCCACTGGGCAGCAATTGACTCCATTCGCTATATCAGGTTTTCTGGGGAACACCCCTTTTGCTACCGTTGAGACCATTAGGTTCGGACAATGGTTGCTCTGTGATAGCTTCTTTGTTGCCACTTTCCTCTTTGGGTTTTTTCAGAGCTTGGTGCCATGATGCTTTCCCTACTCCCTTTACTTGTTTATTGACGTCTCAGACCAAGTGGCTTAGGGCCATTGGATTGGTCCTCTTTGCTTGGCACACAGTACAGTTCATAATTTGGTTAAAGTTTAACTTGTTCTTTAGTTCATTCATCTTTCTTTGGGCTCTGATCAAGCTCCAATGCAACTACTCTTCAATGGTTCATTGGAGAGCAGAGAGGGGCAGGTCACTTCAGTCTTTAGTTGTGGGATTTGGCTCTGCATGGTTCACATTTGTGTAGTGATAAATGTGCTTTGGACTGTCTCACACTTTTCTTATAATTCCACAAGTGGATGGTCAGCACTGTATCTTTCTGTTGACTTTGTAATTTGTTTGGTTTCCCACAGGTGGTCCTCTTTGAATTTGGCAGAGAACCAGAGGCTTCCAGTTTATGTGGCCCCCATTCCTTGTTCATGGGACAATTATTGTGCACGTAGTTTACATTAATTACTGATATATTTCATACAGTTGTTTGTTTTGGTGTGCTCTTTCAGGTGTTTTCTGTGGGGAGCCCCATTAGCTTTCTGAAGCTATCCAAACTGACATGTGCTGGTAAATACTGATGTGCCTGGTGTCAACAAGTCTTCTCTGGCCTCGCTTTCCTGACTGACTTTTGCGTTTGTGGCTTTGCTAACTGTGTGTGGTTTGGTACCTAGATGTTCTTTGTATGTTGGGCTGCATGCATCTAGGGTTCTCTTCCCTAGGTGCTGGTAAATACTGTACTTCCCTTGCATTTCAGGGTTATCTTCCCTGGGATGTTCAGGTCCCTCTCTCATTTGAGATTTGTCACTTTGTGTTGTTCTCGCCCTTGGGGTTCGTCAGGGGTCTTGGGCTTCCCGTCTTGCCCTGGGTAGGGAGTTAGTTTCTGTGGGGGAGCCCCACAGAAAGTTGTCAAGCCTACCGGGGGCCACTAGCCAGAACATGGTCCCCTCAGAGAGGCACAGGGAGCAATGGCCTCTGAAACTCTCATGTATGAAAGTAATTATGTCTGCCATCGACCGGGGTTGAGCACCCAGAAAGGTAGGCGCTTCAAAACAGACTTCTCCTGGTAGTAAAATTGCAACCTGAGACAGAACAGAGGCGAGAAACTCACAAAAGGAAAACAAGCTAACAAGCAACATGTCATCACACCGTGCCAATTGTTCGCTCCAGCCTCCCCAGCCCTACCCCCCAGGAGGAGGAGCACGGAGGTCCTGGCCAACTGAGACGGCATACGGACCATCAGTTTGTTGACTCAAGCTAAACGATGTCCCACCAGCGGGTCTCGTCTCGGCAGCAGTGTGAAGTTTCCTGGTGGTCCTATCAGCACTTCTTGACTTTTCATAGGTTGTCTCAGATCGGGTTGTTTTGTCCTTTCTCTCTTGGTTGTTTCAGGACCGTCATCTTATGCTGAATACTGTCGCCTCATATCATTGCAGCGCTGGCAGAGCCGCTTCAGCTTGCGTTTGGGGTGGACGTCACTTATGCTCCGTTCTGCAAGCTTTCTCGGGCATTGTTTCGCCTCTGGCTTGTTCATGTGCCGCTTGAGCCATCCTGGTCCTTGGACTGGGTGCTCTCTTTTCTCTCTTCTCCTCGATTCGTGGTGGCCCCTTCGGTTCAGGACTGTTTTTCTAAGGCTCTTCTCTTGTTGGCATTGGCCTATGGGGTTGGGTCGGGGAGCTTCATGCTTTCCTCCGGTGCAGGGGTTTCTGCTCTTTCAGCCCTGGTGGTTGTTTTGTTCATTTGTAGCCTTCTCTTTCTTTTCTGGCGAAGAATGAGACTGCTTCTTTCTGGAGGAGTCCTTGGATTGCTGATGCTTGCCCGTTTCGGTCAGGAGTGCATCACGTTTTGTCTGCTTGTGGCTCTTCATTACTTGAGCGCCACTACCTCCGTGGCAGGGGATGCTCGTTGGGTTGACTCGGTTTCCCTTCTTCCCTGTTCCAGGGCACGGCTCTCCCAGGTCGTCCGCAGGATTATTTAGTCCAGCCAGCCTACAGTCTATCCCGGTGCCTACAACATTTGTAAGTTTGTGGCTTTGGCTGCTGTTTTTGGTAATATGTTCTGGGCTGACATTCAGGCAGGGTTTTTTTGGAGGTCAAACAGGGTCCTGGCCACACAGTACTTTGTTAATGTTCCTGGCCCTTCTCAGGCTCGTGTAGCCTTGGGTTGCAAGTTGCAGCTAGTTGTCTCGACGTCACGTTGAGTAGTGAGTGGCGGCTGCCTCCTGGGTAAGTCCCTTTTTTAATTTATCTTTGGTTAGGTAGGCCCGGGAAGCCGAAGGGGCTCTCCACAGAAAACCAGCGTTGAATGTAAAGAACCCTCATTTTCTGGGTGAGGTCTGGAGGCTCCCTGGCATCTTTCTCTCCCTCTGGTCGGCAATTTTTTTTTTCTTTTTTTTTATGATTTTGATATTCAGCCTCTGAACTGGAGTTGGGTGGCCGGCATGTGAGGTCTGGGGCTTCCCCTCACAGGGAGGGGGGAGCTGAGCAGACAGCGGCGTGGCGGCTGTGGTGACATCATGCTTGTCTGCTTGTTTTCTGATTAGTGAGTTCTGCCTGCTCATTTGGCTTTTGGTTTGCAATTTTTAACCAGCTGTAGTTTCTTTTGGGATTCCTACCTTTCTGGGTGCCTGACCTGATAAATGGAAGATATAGACTGCTTCCAACTACATGGGGGTGTCTATAGGCCATTGCTCTTCATGCCTCACTGAGGGGGCCAGGTTCTGGCTCATGGTCCCTAGTAGGCTAAGAACTCCATCAATTGACTGTTGCCACGGTCTAATATATACACATCAGCCCGGTATAGCTCTGGGAAGCCTCCGGGTCTCGCCCAGAAAATGGCATTTCATTACATTCAACGCTAGTTTTTTTCTTTTTTAATCATTTGCATTTTCAACTTCTACTTATGACCTCTTTCCTACTTTCTCTCAATTTAAAGAATTGTCCTATGTCCACCTTGCCTATTCCTCTCAGTATCTTGTATGTAGCACTCATATTACCTTTTGAAATTTAGTTCACTTAACCTATCCTCATAGCTTAGCTCTCTGTTTTGGACTAATCATGTTGTAAACCTCTGCACTTTGTCAAATTTGTTTTTATCCTTCACTAGGTGTGGGTTCCAGACAAGGGCAGAATTTTCTAGTAATGATATTATTTAAATCTGTATAGATTGTATTTTAACTTCCATTGCAACCCAGGTCTTGCAAGGTCCTAATTACTGTCTCGCCTGACACCACCGTTCCTACATCTCTTCTGCACTGGACTGATATTCTGATTGCAAATAAATTGTTAGTTTTCCTTAGGAGTTTTTCCAGCATTAGGGGCCCGCTTAGTCAGGGAATCCCATTTACCACCTTATTGGATATTCTCAGGTCCCTCCCATTTGTTGACACTTCTTAAGTCAGATTTGTTCTAGGTAATACAGTACTTTGGAACTTAGCTGCAGTAGTGTCCTGTTCAGTTAGAGGTGCCGTAGTGTTTTAACAAGCTTTAGCATGCCCTGCTGCTGGTAGTTCAGTGCCATAAGCCAGGAATTGCTGGAAGGGCTTTCATTTCTTATATTTTATCCCATAGCTGGTGATTCATCCCATTGTAACCTTCTGGGGGCTTTATTCCACTGTTTTGCTTCAGTGTTTGTTTTATTGCAGTACCTCTTTTTTTTTTTTTTTTTTTTTTTTGAGATATATACAAGAGTTGTTACATTCTTGTACAGCCACTAGTACGCGTAGCGTTTCGGGCAGGTCCCTGGAATATGATCCCCTGCCGCGAAGAATCGTTTTTTCATCCAAGTACACATTTTACTGTTGCGTTAAACAGAGGCTACAGTTAAGGAATTGCACCCAGTAAATCCTCCCCAGCCAGGATACGAACCCATGACATAGCGCTCGCGGAACGCCAGGCGAGTGTCTTACCACTACACCACGAAGACTGTGGTGTAGTGTACCTCTGCCTCTACTTGCAGTACCTCTGCAGTAGCAGAGGCAGTACCTCTGCCTCTACTTGCATGGTACTGTACTTTGCTCCAGACTTATGCTTGAGTTAAGTGCCTATTTGCTCTGTCTACAGATTTTGTAACACACTTTTTATCTCTGTATGATAGGTTTTGGTGTTTGTCCCTATATGTCTCATGCCTGTCATTTCTGTCCATCAGTCTGATTTGTACAGATAATCCAAAATCTAAGTGCCATGGAATTTTTATTTTCCTTGCCTCTGCAGTTTTGCAATCTACCCTGCCCAGTTCATGGCCTGGCACTGTTGCTAGCTTCCTTCATGGGCATTCTAGAGAATTTAGTAGTCTCCTGCAGTCTCCTGTGTGCATGTGGTCTAGTGCACACATATATCGGTGGGATTTGTTTACCTCATTTCTTTCCTGGTTGCGTTGCAATTTTGTCATTACCCTGTTATGTTTCTGCCTATGCTGCTATCTGTTTCTGGGGATTACTGTTGTCCTTTTGTGGCCACATTCATATCTGGTAAGATTGACGTTGTTTCTCATGGGGTCTGGGTTGTGAGGGAGGGGGGTTCTCAAGAGTGAGGAAGGTAGGTGGGAGACCAAGGTCCTGGGTGACATTGGCCTCTGATGCTGGCCAAATACACTAGGGGTGAGGATTATTCACAGCTGGCAAATACTAGTTGCCTTGTTTCTGGTTTGCCTAACCTTTTTGGTTGGTTTTCCTAATTTAGGGTAAATCTCTGATTCCTAAGTTTCCAAGAAAGACAGATTCTTGTCCAGGTTTCATGTAAGTCAGTCAGAGTCTGAGAAGTCTAGCATGATCCTTAGGCTTAGTTCTGCAGGCATGTAAGCACCAGTAACTGAGGTGACCTTCCTAGGAAAAATATTAATGATGAAAAGATGAAGGATGATTCTCTGTGCTTGCTCTTTACACGGAAATGGTGAACATGATCTTCAGATAAATTAATATGTACATATAAGTCATTATATTTGTAAATAATATTACTGTACAGTATTTTCCTTCTCATCAGTTGCAGGTTCAGGGGCAGTATATGGAATATGGCAGATCACTTGCTCGTTCCCAAGATGACGAGCAGGTAAATTATTTTTGCCAGCGACCCCATAACGACAACGACTTTGCTTACCAGAAGGGGCATCGATGGGCCGTAGGCGATGATTCTGTCATCGATGTAAGTGTTAATTTTTTTTATTTTTTGCCCTGCAACTAGTGCCTATTTGCATTACAGTACCATATTGGTTGTGTAATGCTTAACTGTTCATCAGTAAATCATTACACAAATCATTACATCAGTAAATCATTTACATCAGTTTTGGTGACAAGATGGGATAGATCCTTGCCCTGTGGCATGCTTGGACTCAACATCCCTTGGTATATATCAACACAGTATCAAGAGAGTAACAACACAATATTAACACTATATCGTGTAGTATCTCAGGATCTTCTGTGGATATGATCTTTACCACCTCAGGTGTCTTGGAGGTTTACTCAGTATTAATAATAATTCACTGTGTCGGGGGACAGGAAGCCAGACTGTATTCATACACGTTTGGCTTTTATCGAGATCCCCCTCTCCCCCCCCCAATGTCGAATTACTGACCCCGCTCAGGATGCAACCCACAACAAGTTGACTAACTCCTGAGTACCTACTCACTGCTAGGGGAAAGGAAATGTGCCCAATTATTTCTGTCCCGCCTGGAATTCGAACACAGAATTCTCGATTGGAATGTATGTATGTATCCTGTTAGGCTAGGGTGTGAATGTAGCAGTCCATCCTCCTGTTTTGGTAGTACAGGTATTGTACTTATAGTAACGATGAAGAGCATAGTATATACGTATACCGACGTACAATGAAATTAGAAACTAGAAATCGGCACTATTGAGTTGGACAAACCAGAAAACTGTTTTCTATTTGTGTTGCAAAGACAAACTAAGCCTACCTAACCAAACCTTCCTAGGCCTAATACATGATATCTGAAGCCTAATATAGTACATTTGTGTGCTATACTAGGCACACAAAAGTTTGTTTATTAGCTTCATTTTTTCCAACTCTGTAAAGTGAATAGTACAAAGTTCTACTATCTAATTGCTTAGAATGGCAATCTTTATACTGTGGTGCACATAGCTACAAAAACTACCATCTAAACAGGAGAATGGGTTGGAATGGAATGTGGTGATGCCATCCATGTGGCAGCTGTCCCATCTGATCCCTGTTTCCCAGCACATTACTCGCTGGTCGGCCGAGCGGACAGCACGCTGGACTTGTGATCCTGTGATCCCGGGTTCGATTCGATCCTGACTAACACCTGGGTGTTAGTCAGCTGTCACGGGCTGCTTCCTGGGGGTGGAGGCCTGGTTGAGGACCAGGCCGCGGGGACACTAAAGCCCCGAAATCATCTCAAGATAACTCCAGACCCTCACTTTATTCTTAACATGTCAAATCTTAACAGGTACATTCCTTGCCTAACACCCTGGATGACTACTGTGTGTCCCAAGTTTGTCAGGTGATTTCAAACAGTTCTTGAAATGCCAGAATTGTGAAAACAGTAAATAATGCAGTGTTAATTTATGACCTTTACGATTATGAGATGGGCAGTGTAAGGTGTTCAGTTCCTGGGCGTAATGAGACGTTTGGGCACATTTCCTTCCACCTGATACTTTTTTTCACCTACCAGGAAATAGGTACCTGGGAGTGTGGCAGTCTTGTGAAGGTTTTCATATTACCTTCTTGTGGTGGGTTTTAAATTACTATACCTATTCATTGAGGGTTTCATATCACCCTCTTATGGAGGGTTTCATATTTTCCCTCGTGCAGATGATTTCATGTCTCTCACATGGAAGGTTTCATATTATCCTCTTATGGAAGGCTTCGTATTACCCTCTTGTAGAGGGTTTCATATTACCTTGATGTGGAAGATTTCATATAATTTTCCATGTGTATGGTTTCATATTAACCTGACATAGAGGATTTCATATTAGCTTCTCATTGAGGTTTCATATAAGCCTCTCATTGAGGGAATCATATTACTCTCATGTGCAGGGTTTCAGACTAACCTCTGGAGAGTTTCATATTAGCTTCTTGTGGAAGCTTTCACATTACACTCTCATGGAAGGTTTCATATTACGCCGTCACGGAGCGTTTCATATACACTCAAATAAATGGGTAAATATTACTCTCACATTGAGGGTTTCATATTACTCTCACATTGAGGGTTTCATATTACTCTCATATGAAAGGGTTTCATTTTACTTTCACATGGAGGGTTTCATATTACTCTCACATGGAGGGGTTCATATTACTCTCACATGGAGGGGTTCATATTACTCTCACATGGAGGGGTTCATATTACTCTCACATGGAGGGGTTCATATTACTCTCACATGGAGGGGTTCCACGTTAGCCTTTTGTTGATGATTTCATAATACACTGACGTGGAGAGTTTCATAATACCCTCCTGTGAAGTGCAATAATTTTGGAATGGGGGATATATGGGTTGTTACTTTGAGAATGGGTTTACAAACACCTCTTGATAGAGGGAGTGTTTTTGTATCCCTTGTGTATGGCAGTAATATATTGCTGACATGTGTATAGTCATCACTATACTGTAGCATTGTGTCCACTGACAGCAGACACATTTTGTATACTGTATACAGTACTGAACAATTCTGACTTTCTCATCAGTAAATGTGTTCACAATCATACTAGAGACAAATCTTGCCGAAGTCACAAGGAAAATGCTAACACACACAATGAATATCTTTTTAAACACCTTTATATCACGCACAGGATGTGATGCCCGAACAGTCAAGCCTTGTAAAAACTGAATTATTTAACATGCTCCACACTCAGGAGGGAACCCAAGTCAAGGGACTGGCTTAAGGAGCAACGTTTGTGCTAGATAATGTAGTCAATAGATGTTTGCTATGATAATTATCTACATATACTTAGAGGATGAAAGTTATGCTTGTGGTGTGTCCTGTCTTTCTTATAATCTTGGGCATATGAGACAAACTACAGGTGGTTTTGTCATCCACCGCCTTCTTTCAAATTGTTCCATTTTATAACTCTTGTTTGCATCGTTTCCAGTGTACATGCTATTATACATACGGAGGATTTAATAGTTTGAATTCCTAGTGTCTGTGATCTAGTGGCAGTCCCGCCTACATAATCTATATAAATAAAAATGTAAATGTTCGTTTGTTCAAAATCGCTAATCTTCAAAAGTTCTTCACCGATTGCTTTGAAATTTTGACACAGCATTCCATTCGCATACGAGCGTGTTTTATATACCTACTATATTGATGTCACATCTGTGACAGGTAAAAAAACTTTTTTTTTTGTTAACTGTGTTTTTATGTGAGTTTTCATGTGGGGGAAATCTCCGAAACCTCTTTACCAATTACAGTACTTTAAAATTTTGACACAACGTTGTATTCGAATACGCGCATGTTTTTATATACCTACTATATACATGCTAAAAACATGTTCTGCTATTTTGGAAAAACAGCGCCATCTGTTGCACGTAAAAGCAACATACGCTATACTAAATATGTTACGATTCCATTTCAGTGTTTTCGATTGCATTGATAAATTGAATTTTCATAGATTTCTATTTATTTTCATTTTGATTTAATTATTTTGTGGGACAGTACATTGGAATTGAGCTGTGTTGTTTACCATACCGTTCATTTCGTATGAGTATAGTTTATTTTAAAAAAATCATTGTTTTCATTTCGTTTTTTAATTGTTCTTATTTTTCAGTGATGGGGACATCAGATCATTTGATGTTCCCATTTTTCTGATGGGAACATCAGATCATTTGGGAGAACATCGGACGGGGGAGTGGGGAATGGTGGGGAGGACGAGGGGATGGGAGTGGGGGGATGGTGAGGAGGATGAGGGGATGGGGTAATAGTGGGAAGGACGAGGGGACGGGGAGTGGGGGATGGTGGGGAGGACGAAGGGATGGGGAGGGCAAAGGGATGGGGGAGTGGGGAAGGTAGGAAGGACGAGGGGAAGGGGGGAATGGTGGGGAGGATGGGAGGACAGGGGAGGGTTGCTGTGGCTCAACAATGCGCATGTGTTGCTGAGCCACAGCAACGTGTGGCCGGGTACAGCTAGTATTATAATATAGCAGCTTCTACACCGCGTGTCGAACATTCTTTTGTAAGCTGCGTCAACTTGGGCTGCGGGAACAAAAGTTTTTGAACAACATTTTCAAGCATGTTGAAGATATGTGCCTTAGTTTATTATAGACCTAATATTTTCTTACAAAAAGACAGTGTCGCTTCTATTTTACTGAATTGAACTGAAAATGACATCGCATAGTGTAGAGACTGAGGTGTGGGAGAGGTGAATGATGACGGTACAGGAAGTCAGGGTTTGTGGCCGGGCTCTGCCAGTCATCACCCCAACATGGGATCCAGACTCCAGTCCTTACCACCTGCTGCTGCTCCTCCTCCTCCCTCCCCCTGCCTCCAGTGCTCTTGTACTGTTGTTGTTGCTGTTGGTGTTATTGTTGTTGCTGCTGCTGTTGGTGTTGTTCCTGCTGCTGTTGGTGGTGTTGCTGCTGCTGTTGATGAAGCAAAACACTACCACAGCAACAGCTATAGTGTTGTCTTGATGCTGTGGTGGCAATGTTGTCTTGCTGCTGCTGTGGCAGTGTTGTGTTACCACACATGATGAGCTTGAGTAAGGTGGTAGCATGAATGTGGCGCAACACCCACACTGAGGAAGGTGGCCTCCGCCGGTACTTGTCCCAGGCAGGCCACTACGCCGACAGGATCCTTCCGTCTCACCTTTTGTGGCGCTGACGCTCCCGACCACCGACACCTCTCATTTGACCATATTTACTCGCGTGTGTTGACACGCAACACCTGTCTCTGGTGCTTCCCGGCGCCTCACTATGGCGACGGGGCACCTGGTGATGTGGCATAGTAGGGACTGATGTTACCTGGAGCATAGCAGGGACTGATGTTACCTGGAGCATGGCAGGGACTGAAAATCAACCCTAACTATGACCTTGGCAGGTATGGTAAATGTCACAGATGAGCTTTAGAGGTTTCAAGGTCAAATAAAGTTGTAAACTGGTATAGCGAGCCAACAGGCGATGTACTCACCTAGTTGTGCTTGCAGGGGTTGAGCTTTAGCTCTTTGGTCCCGCCGTTCAA